AAGAATATCTTGTTCTGCAGAGTACAATTCATCTTTGCTCTATAATTGCATGTCAAACATCAATGGGGATATCAGTGATGCCATTAAAAAAACAAGTGAGACCTGAACTGATGAATTTTAGAAAAGATGTTGCCGAGCACCAGACATTCCCGACAAAAATCAAAGAGCAAAACAAGTCGAGAAATATTTTCACATCTATTTTATGTAGTGGGATTAGGGACGGAAAGGGATATGGCCAAAGAAAAAGATTACCTTATCCATATCCTCCTTGCTCTTTGCATATATGTTTAAACCACTTGCCTCCAAGGACATCGATTACATCCATAGCTACTTCACCCCTATTTGCTATTTAGTTTTAATTAATATTGTAAATTTCTAATAGTATTAGATAAACTAAAATATAAAAGGGATACATGAATTATTTTAGGGGTAAAAAAGAAATTTTGAAAGGCAAGTGGCGAAACACCACTAACCCGTATCCGACCCAGATACGAATTCGAAGTGTCATATTATTTTTTTAAAGCGTTTACTTTTTCAAGATAGTTGAAAATCATCTTTCATTAAAATAAAATGTAAATACTTACATAATTACAACAAAAAGGTTACAAAACCGATCAATGCATATTTAATTTAAGCCTTTATTTACATACCAACAAAAACATATACAAAAGTACCTACTACTTAAATTAATTCTGATCTGATCTTAGTCGAAATATTGTCTTGCCTGCTTGTCCTAACTGGATCTCCTTGTTTTTTTGAACTATGCGTGAAACATTCACACGCTAAGTCACGTAAAGCATTAATACAATAATGAAATCATGAAACAGCAATACTATAATATTGGAGTGTAATAAAAATCATCATATATCTACTTAACGGGAATATACATGAATATGCATTTAATAAATAATAATATATTATAACATGATTCAATGTTATTTCATGTTATATCTTTTCTTAGCCCTTGGTACATTACTGAAAACTTAAGGTATGTAAGTGCATTGAGGTTGTACACAATGTTGTCACCACAGCTCGTATAAAATGCACCGAAGTGCCGCGTAGAAATTTGAAACGAAGTGCCACAGAATGTCCCGAAGGATACATATGTCCCGAAGGACCGAGTAGAAATGTCCCAAAATACCACGTAGAATTGTCCCGAAGGACCGCGTAGAACCCTCGACTCTTGGCATGTCAATTATACCCTCAGCTCTCATATCATATACTATGGGCTTTACCATTTACATCATATCTTATAACTTATTTCACATAGTCAAGTAATCACATAGGTAATGTCTCATAGCTTATACCATTAATTCATATAAAACGTGTAGATCCATCATAGCTTATCTTATACTCATTTATCCATATAGTTCATATAACACCTAGACTAACATACAATACATAACTCATTTATAAATTGAAAGTAAACATATATAAATATGCATGTAATCACATAAGCATAGAAACCATATTAATCACATTTTAATATTCATGCAATCATGAAAGCAAAACATGATAAACAGACTCATCGCGAGTCTAGTTTCCATGTAATTATATCTCATAGTAATATGCACTCACCTTAGCCTCACTTAGTTCAATTAACTCCTATAACTCTTTCTCTCTCTTGATCGATCTTAACTTGTTGATTGTTCCAGAATTTGCTTATGTTCGATATCTGCACAAATATACATTCGATATGAATATCAGAATTCTAAGCATTATGAATCGATTGTTAATAACATAAGCTAAAAGAAGTACTTGATTCAAATTTTCACTTTAAATAGTATCGATACCCAATGTATAGTACCAATACTTCCTTACTGTGGTATCGTTACTATACTTCAGTATCGATACCCTTTTTCGATTATGGAATTCCATCTCTAAAAATGGTATTGATACTTGCATAATGGTATCGGTACCAAGGGTACCGATGCTACCCCTTTAGTATCGATACTCCATGAATAATTTACCAACTTTTAGCTTATGCTATCGATATTGTTCATCCAGTATCAATACCCTAACCCAATATTTCATATTTTCACTTTGAAGTATCGGTAATGTACCTTGGGTACTGATATTATTCAAAGTGAAAATTTGAATTAAGTAATTCTTTTAGCTTAGGTTATGAATGATCGATTCATAATGCTTAGAATTCTTATATTCGTATCGAATGTATATTTGTGTAGATATCAAACATAAGTAAGTTTCGGAACAGTCGACGAGTTAAGATCGATCAAGAGAGAAATAAAGAGTTATAGGAGTTGATTGGACTAAGTGAGGATAAGGTGAGCACATATTACTATGACATATAATATATGGAAACTAGACTCGCGATGAGTTTGTTTCATGTTTTTTCTTCATGATTGCAATACTAAAAGTGATTAATGGTTTCTATGTGTATTTCAGTACATACATATTTTATATGTTACTTGCAATGTTATACATGGTTATGTATTATAGTTCTAGGTGTATATGAACTATGTGGATAAATAAGTATAAGATATAATTTATTGATATGATCTACGCATTTATATGAATTAATGGTCTAAGCTATGAGACATGACCTATGTGATTACTTGACTATGTGAAATAAGTTATAAGATATGATGTAAATGGTAAAGCCCATAGTATATGATATGAGAGTTGATGGTATAATTGACATGCCAAGAGTTTAGGGTTTTACGCAGTCATTCAGGACAATTCTACGTGGTCCTTCGGGACATTTCTACGCGATCCTTCGGGACATTTCTATGCGGTCCTTCGGGACATATATGTGGTCCTCCTGGACATTCTATGTGGCACTTCGGTGTAAATTCTATGCGGCACTTCGGTGCATTTTATGAGCTGTAGTGAAAGTATTGGTGCACAACCCTAAATGCACATACCTTAAGTTCAGTAATGTACATGAGCTAAAAGATATAACATGAAATAACATGAATCATGTGATAGGTATTATTTGTTAAATGCATATATGTATTCTTGTTAAGTATATATGATTTATTACACTTTGATATTATAGTATTGCATGTTTCATGATTTCATTATGCATATTGTATTATATGTCTCACTAAGTCCGGGACTTATCGGTGAGTGTTTCACACGTAGGATCAAAGAAACAAGGAGATCAAAGTTAGGAAAGACGGGAAAAATAATATTTATTGACTAAAGATGAGATCGGAATTAATTTAAGCAGTAGATACTTTTGTTATATGTTATTTTGTTGGTATATAGATAAAGGCTTAAATTAAATATGCTTTGATCGGTTTTGTAAACCTTTTTTTGTAATTATGTAAAGTATTTACATTTTATTTTAATGAAAGATGATCTGAATTCAACTTATTCATACATTAGTAGTAAGTTGGTGAGAGAGTTGAGAATTCAACTAGAAGCAACAAGTAGTGATGTGATAGTGGCAAACCCATTAGGGCATCGTGTTCGGGTAAATCAAGTGTGTCGAGGGTATCCCATAAGGATTCAGAGAATTGAATTTTCTGCTAATCTGATGGAATTACCCTTTGACGAATTTGAGGTGATATTGGGAATGGATTGGCTATATCATTATCATGCTAATGTTGATTGTAGAATGAAGAGGGTAACATTGATAAGTCCAGAAGGATTAGAAGTTATAATATTTAGTGACAGATTTAATCCGTTAGCAAATGTAATATCAGTAATGTCGGCCAAGAAATTATTGTTACAAGGATATCAAGGTTTCATTGCTAATGTGATTGATACTCAAGCTGAGAAGAAAGGATTATAAGAGATTTCAACAGTCAGGGAGTTTCCATATATTTTTCCTGTTGAGTTGCCAAGATTACCTCTAGACAGGGAGGTTGAATTTCAAATTAAGGTAATGCATGGAACTGAACCGATTGTAATGGCACCTTATCGAATGGCACCGAAAGAATTCAATGAGTTAAAGATTCAGTTGCAAGAATTGTTAGATAAGGGGTTTATCAGATCAAGTGTGTCACCTTGGGGAGCTTCAGTATTGTTTGTAAAGAAGAAGAATAGTTCAATGCGTCTCTGTATTGATTATAGACAGCTCAACAAGGTGAATATAAAGAACAAATATCCCCTACCAAGAATTGATGATTTATTTGATCAGTTAAAGAGGGCTTCAGTTTTCTCTAAGATTGATTTACGTTCTGGATATCATCAATTGAAGATTCAAGAAAGAGACATTCCAAAGACAACTTTCAGGACAAGATATGGTCGTTACGAGTTTATTGTTAAGTCCTTTGGGTTGACTAATGTGTCTGCTGTGTTTATGGATTTAATGAATAGAGTTTCAGCCTTACCTTGATAAGTTGTTTGGTCTTTATTGAAGTTTTTGGTATTATTCAAAGTCTAATGAGGAACATGATGTGCATTTTAGGATAGTTCTGCAAACTTTACGAGATAAGAAGTTATATGCCAAACTATCTAAATATGAGTTTTGGTTAAATGAGGTGACATTTCTTGGGCATGTAATTTATGCCGATGGGATTCGAGTTGATCCTCAAAAGATCAAAGTTATTTGACTGGAAAATTCTAAAAAAATGTGTCTGAAGTTTGGAGTTTCTTGGGTCTTGCAGGTTATTCGAAGGTTCGTTTAGAATTTTCGATGATAGTTTTGCCTTTGACAAGGTGATGAGGAAAAAATGTATCTTTACTTGGATCCTAAATGCCAAGAGAGTTTTAAAGCATTAAAATAATTTAACAGAAGCTCCAGTTTTGTTCAACCTGAATCGGGTAAGAACTTTGGGTTATAGTGACACAATCCTATAATGGCCTGGGATGTGTACTGATGCAAGAAAGGGAAAGTAATGACATTTGCATCCAGACAATTGAAATCGCATGAGAAGAATTATCCGACACATGATTTGGAGTTACATGCAATTGTGTTCGCTCTCAAGATATGGCGTCACTACCTATATGGTGAACGTTGTTACCTTTATACAGATCATAAAAGCTTGAAGTATCTGATGACTCAGAAAGAGTTAAATATGTGACAAAGAATGTGGATCAAGCTTCTTAAAGATTATAATGTAGTTATTGATTTCCATCATGGAAAAGCCAATGTGGTAGCAGATGCGTTAAGCATGAAGACATTCACAACTTTGAGAGCTTTAGATGCAAGGTTGTCAATAGACAGAGATTGTGTATTATGTGCAGAATTGATGCTGAGGCTAACGTTGTTGGATCGAATCAAAGAATTGCAGGGTAAAGATGAAAGATGTTTGAGAATAATAGAGCAAGTAAAGAATGAAGAAAATAAAGATTTTGAAGTTAAGTCTTGGGAATTGTATATCGAGGGAGGAGTGATTCCGAATGGACGGGAATTGAAGAATGATCTATTGACAGAAGATCACTGTAGTCCGTTGACAATGTACCCTGGTGGAAATAAAATGTACATGGATCTCAAGAGTCGTTATTGGTGGCCAGGAATGAAAAGAAACATTATAAAATTTGTGTCTAAATGTTTGACATGTCAACAAGTCAAAGTTGAGCATCAAGTCCCTTCAGGATTGTTGCAATCAATCTCCATTCCTCAATAGAAATGGTAGAATGTGACAATGGATTTTGTGACAGGGCTACCTTTGACTCTGAATAAAAGAGATTCGATTTGGGTGATAGTGATCGATTGACTAAGTCAGGCATTTCATCTCGGTACCAAACCCAAAAATCTTCTTTTAACCTGAAAATTACCAATACTTTACTAGTTTCTCATTTTACTCTTCTTTAAAACCTTCAAAACTCAACTATATTCTCAAACCAATAATTCACTTTTTACTCCTAAATATCCAAATTCTCAATAGCCTACTTGAAATAAAAAATCATACCAAATTTTCATCTTTGTTATAATTCTCTTATTCTAACTGAGGACAAGTTAAATTTAACTTCAAACTTCAGTTACCAACTCTTCTCAACAACACTTAAAACCTCTTATATTAATCTCTATAATATCAATCTTTGGTGTTTTAAGCAAACCTTAAGTTTTCCTTAAGTTCTCCTAATAACTTCAAGAATCAAACCTCTTAAAAATAAAAAGAATAACCCATTAAAGAAGAATCCTACCTTAGTTATGGAGTCACAGTAGGTTGAGGAAGAAAGGATGAAGAAGATATCTAGAATTCTCTGATTTTCCTCCCTCTTACACGTGTGGATATATATAAAACAACCATAATGGGGCTTTTTAATTATTTTCCTGTCTAATGACCAATATGCCCTTCCAACTTCTCTTGCTGTTCAATCTTACACAAACAATTTCCAGATAAACCCTTGAACTTTAAAATTTTCTAATTTGATCATGAAATTTTAAAATCTTATAAATTGGTTACTAAACCGGTGTTTGGATGTTACTAAAGGGGCATAACAAATCAGGTTTTTTTCCGTCTCTAAGTGGGATTAAGTCTTAATATGAAACTGATAAAAAGATTAGGGAAATCAGTAACACAATGCAGGATCAAACTCAAAAGGAAAACACATCTGAAAGAAGGAACGAGGATGAGAGATTACTGTGCCTGAGATTGCATCCAACAGTCAGTTCTGCATAATAACTATCTACATTTGACAGGAAACAGTAAGGGGCCTCCTTTCCTAAGAAAACTTTCGAGTTTGATCGCAACATGCTCTTAATGTCATCTGATATCTGGGGAACCTTGTCCAGACTTTCAATTTGCAAGGGAATTTGGTCACCATGCGCCATTGGGCACGTGATTTGCTCACAATAACCTAAACATTTACAAGGTAAAACATCAAAGACAGATGGGTTTGGGATGACTAATATATGTGTCCATAAGAAAATAAGCACTTCAGTAGTCAGTACAGTCAATGAGATGTGAAAGATGATTCTTCTATTAATAAAAGAAAAAACCAAACTGACTGGAAAAAGAGTGAGTTCGGAACCAGAACGGAAATAACGATAGAACAAAATTAACCTGTACACTGCAAAAAGGCCCAACTCTAATGCCAATTGGGAATTTGAAGAGCTGACGTGGATGCGGCAGCCACTGGGAACCAGACACATTCCATAACAACTCAAGACAGATGGGTTTGGATATGACTAATATAATGTGTCCATAAGAAAATAAGCACTCTCAGTAGTCAGTACAGTCAATGAGATGTGAAAAGATGATTCTTCTATTTCTAATAAAAGAAAAACCAAACTGACTGGAAAAGAGTGAGTTCGGAACCAGAACCGGAAATAACGATAGAACAAAATTAACCTGTACACTGCAAAAAGGCCCAACTCTAATGCCAATTGTGGGAATTTGAAGAGCTGACGTGGATGCGGCAGCCACGGGAACCAGAACACATTCCATAACAACCGAAAAACATCAGCTTCTTGCAAAGCCATTGCAGTCTCTACAACCTGCATAAACAAAACTCAAGATAAACATACACAAATAATCAAAATGTTATCCAAATGAAAAGAGGCAATGAAAGATACATTGACTGCACTAGCAACATTTTTGCCTTGTGGCCGAAATCCGTCGAGTACGATAATTGCCTGTGGAGTAAGTCCGACATGTCCGATAACCACGATCCCAGCCTCGACGATGACTTTTACAGTGGAGATCCTTGAAGGGAACCCTCCTTCCAATTTGATAGCATCCATCTTTAAGACCCTAACAGTCATATCAACTGCCCGTTCATATTCCAAACGGCAATTACATCACGATCAATATTCATCCAAGCAATGTTTCATCATCGATATTTGTCCTTAAAATGTAAGAGAAATCATTCAAGCAATTCTTCTTCATCAATACCAAATAATATAATGCAGTGCACAAGGGAATTTGTTTTGGTTCATAGGGGTACATACCTGACTGATGTTGGTCTCATAGGTCCAAATGGCAAGTCACCAATGAGTAATGGCCGCGTGGCGCCGCGAGCGACCATCGATGGGTAGTCATAGGCTGTAACAACGCAACGGCTGGCGCATTTCTTTTATTTTTGCTTCAGCTGGTTAAGGGTCATTCTCTAGTTGAGCGTTTAAGGCTTTGGACCGCCGTAGATGGCGTTTTCAGGTACGTTGCTCAGGCTGCGAATAAGGCGGCTCTGGAGACTAAAAAAGCCTTGGACAACTCGTGTAAAAGCAACATTTTGTTGGAAGTATTTTAATAACGGAAGAGAAAGAAACAAATCAACTTTCTATAGTAGGGATCAATTTATGATTTTTTAATAGTCAAAGACTCATCAAAGTCATCTCTATAGTTAGGAGATCATTTTTGTATTTTACCATAAAATAAATGTATATTAGTGTATGTAATCCTTTACACCGGTATAAGTATGTGTTAATTGTAACACTTTACACCAGTGTAAGTATGTGGCCTTAACATCTTGTTGTTCAACCATGAAAAGCCGATTGATTACCCTTTTTACTTTAACCATCGATTTTTCAATTTTATCGATCGGGTCACCTAACTATTTAAATATTGTCAATCAAACCACCTGTCGTTAAATATTAACGGAGGAGATGATGTGGCAGTTAATAAAATATATATATAATTACACATTTAGTCCTCATTACTTATGCATTTTATTAATTTGATCCTAATTTTTAATTAATTCAATAAATTTAATCCTTAATTAGATGGTGAAATGTGTCACTATGTGATTGAATATTTTTTCTTAATATTTTTATTTAATTTAATAAAATTTTCATCTAATCAAATGGTGTCATGTGTCACCAATTGAATTAATAGAAAATAAATTGAATCAATAACCGCTGCTAGTGGGGTTTGAATCCAATACGTGAGGAGAAGAAGCAAAAATGCCCCAACCATTGGGTTGCACCATTCAAATGACAAACCTATTACGACATAATATATATAGTTAATGGCAATAAGAAAAGGGAAAATGACCTAATAAGAACTCCAACATGAAATAATTGAATAATACGATAATATGATATATATATATATATATATATATATATATATATATACCTACAAATATTATAATTGATTAATATGTGAATGTATTTTATTTATATTTTAAATTATTTTAATGAAAAAAATAAAAATAATTGAAATATATTATAATTGAAATATAACGAAGAGCTTCGTTAACTTAGAATTTTTCTAATGGTTGAAGGCTTATCGTAGTAAGCATTTTAACTTACACATTGACTTGTTTATATCTCAGTTAGAGTAAGAATTTTATATTTTAATATTTATTCATTATATATTTGAAGAAAATTTTAGGAGAAACATGATTTTATTGAATTAGTCTATTTTAATATAGAATTGTTAAATAAGATTATAATTCGATCGATGTTATAATATTTTAAAATATAAGATATGATACATTTTAGTTCAATAAAATTAGAATAATGAAGATAATTTATTAATTTAAAATTTGTAAAATTATATATTTCAATTATAACATATTAAATTCACTTTTATTTTATTTTTGCATTAAATGTGATTTAAAATATAAATAAAACATATTCATTTATTAATCAATTATAATATATATATATATATATATATATAATTTCATATTTTTCAGTTATTTTATGTCTGAGTCTTTATAAGGTCATTTATTACCATTAACTTTATTATAAATTTATGTTTTGTATATTAGACAAATTTAGTGGTCTAGCTTAGTAGTTCAGACGCTTAGTTTTTCAACTTGTGTCCCAGGTTCAAATCCCACCAACAATAGTTATTGATTTAATTTATTTTCTATTCATTCAATTGGTGACATATGACACCACTTGATTGGATGGAAAATTTATTAAATAAAAAAATTAAAAAAAATCCAATTACACAGTGACATATGTCACCATCGAATTGAAGATTAAATTTATTTAATGAAATAAAAATTAGGACCAAATTAATAGAATATGAAAGTAATGAAGACTAAATGTATAATTATACAAATTTTATTAACTGTCACATCATCTCCTCCATTAATATTTAACGGCAGGTGGCTTGATTGACAAGATTTAAATAGTTAGGTCTCTCGATTGATAAAATTGGAAAATCAATGGTTAAAGTAAAGAGTGTAAATAGTTAGGTAGTCAATGGTATAATTTACCCTAAAAATAATGTTTTATAAATATTATATTTTAATTAAATTACATTTAGATTTTAACTAATTTATAATTATACGTTTAGTAATTTATGATTTAACGTTTTTATAATTTAATTTAATGGTGCTCATTGTTTACCGTACTCATCAACGCTCGTCGAGCGTGCCATCATCATCTTATCGATAAATTATCGCCTATGATTTTCCACCAAAATTAAAAGAGATGTATTGTCATCAACTGACACAATCACCTATGTTATATATGGAGTTTCTTTGTTGAGTCCATCGACTATTAAAAGTCATAAAATGGTAGCCCGACTATAGAGAGTTGCTTTGTTGAGTCCCTCAAATATTAAAAGTTACAAAATGATCACTCAACTATTCATTATGTTCTAAACTCATCTTTTTTTGTTGAAACATTAACGGTCATCTGAGTTGGAAATTAACATGTCGATTGAGATATGATAGTCGTTTGAGATTTTGAGATCAAGTTTTATCATATCTCAGTCAGTAGTTTAACATCCAACTCGAACTGCCGTTAATTTTTTAACAGAAAATGACGAGTTTGGAACATACGGGTGACCATTTTGTAATTTTTAATAGTCGAATGACTCAACAAAACAACTTCTTATAGTCGAGGGACCATTTTATAACTTTTAATAGCCAATGACTCATCAAAGTAGTATCCTATAGTTAGGGGACCATTTGTGTATTTTACCCTAAAATAAATTTATATCAATGTAGATAACACTTTACACCGGTGTAAGTATTAGGGGTGTGCATTATCAGATATCGGATATTATTCGATCCGAATTTTTGGATATCCGAAAATTTCGGATACCTAAAGTAATGATCCATATCCGATCCGAAAAAATTGGATATCCGAGATCGTATATCCAAATATCCGGATCCGAATCCATTTTTTACAAAAAAATCAAAAAAAATTAATAGAAATTAAAATATTCATATTTACTTGTTTTCCAACAATTTGTTTATGTAATTACATGCCCCACTACAATTAAAATTTTAAATAACATAATACAATAATATAGTCCCCTAAATGTTAAATAGCATAAAATAATGTACATTAACAACACAATAAACCAACACAAGATGTGCAAAATAAAAATATTACATAAGAGTATCAAGTCTCAAATTAACACAAGATGTTCAAAATAAAATATCACACAAGAGTATCAAGTCTTAACAACATAATAAAAGAGATTGTAGGATC